AGTAGTGAGAAATCTTTCAGGTAATGTGAGTTAAGTAGCCATTACATTTTCATGGGCGTGTTGATGTGCATTGAAAGAATACGGTAAACAGAATGATGATTGTGTTGTTCTGGTGTGTATTTGAGATAAGTGAATAGAAAGGCGGAAGTGCATTTGTTTTGATTCGCGTTGACGAAAATCAGGCTTAATGTTTTCTTCATCGAAGGCCAAAACTGCTGTAATTTAGGATTTCCGGCGTTGTGTCGAGAGCTGTTCCCCCGTGGAGATGCGTTTCCCCTAACCTGAACCCTGACCTTATCCGAACCATAACCACAGATGGGTGCGCTTCTAGAAACCCAGTTTTAAAAGGGGGGAACAGATTTCAACACAAGGCCGGTGCCATGTTGCTGTCAAACTGAAAAACAGTTATAACGTTATATAATTGTTCTTGGCATGAGGTGTGCTTATGAAATGTCATTTTGTCAACTCACAACCGAATTATATATGTGTATAACTGTACTCCTTTAGGATATTATCATTATGAGTTATGCAGAGAAGGCGGAGGACATAACAAGGGAAGAGTGGATGGATAAACTCAACAATGTCCACATTCAGAGAACAGATATGAACAGGCTCATTATGAACCACCTGGTGACAGGTAAAGTACCTTTTTTCTTTTCTTATTTCTCTGAGTTTGATTTTAATTGTTGACAAGTGTGGTGCTTGAATGTGCAGGATTTGTCCATGGTTTCTGTTCAACAGAGGGCTTCAAGGAGGCAGCAGAGAAGTTCCGGATAGAGTCTGGAATTGAGCCTAGTGTGGATTTGGATTCCCTAGATGAAAGAATTAAGATCAGAGAGATGATCCTGAAGGGGCAGATCCAGGATGCCATTGCACTGATTAACAGTCTACACCCAGAGCTGCTGGATACAAACCGTTACCTCTACTTTTACCTACAGGTAAAATAAAACACAGTGCCTGTCACTTATCAGACATCTAGGCTTTGCACTGTTAGCAATATAATCAATATAGTTTGTACTGCCTGTCTTCCTGTGTGTGTTATTTTCATTCCCTGTTACACCTTCTGGCCTTTTCTATTTGCAGCAGCAGCACCTGATTGAGCTGATCCATTTGAGGGAAACTATAGCTGCCCTTGAATTTGCTCATTCTCAGTTAGCAGAGCATGGGGAAGAGAGCTGAGAGTGTTTGACAGAAATGGAAAGGACACCGGCATTGCTGGCATTTGACAACCCTGAGGATTCGCCTTTTGGAGACCTGCTCAATATGATGCAGAGACAGAAGGTAGGGTGAATATTTCACTAACATCTCACAAAGAACAGATTAGTTTAAACTCATTCTCTTTGTATGTGTTAAATAGTTTTGTTTCTTATTTCAGTTTGTTTCTGTTGTGGTACACAGGTCTCTCTTGCAAAATAGATTTTGATCTGAATGAAATTTCCTGATTAAATAATTATATAATAAATAATATAAAAAATAATAAATTGCAGGTCATTTGAAGTTCATGATCTCAAACAATATGCTTTCTGCAGCATGAGGATAGTATTCATTGTTAGTGCTACAGTTTTAATCAGCGTTTCTTTTTAAAAAAAAATATATTTAATTAATTTCATATGAAACTCCTGATTTGTTTTTGTTTCTTTAACAAAGAGACACTGCCAGTTTTACACATGTTCAATCCAAAGCTACCCTGGTGACACAATCAGGCTTGAGGCTTCGGATGTTTTAACAGAAAGCTTCTGCTGCAAAATTAGGTCTTGGTATAAAAAAACTGATGGCCTTTACAAGACAAGAAGGGTTTAATGAAAGAAATTCATTGTGTTGGATCCACAGTTTTCAGTGTCATCACTAAAGGAGACTAAAGGTCGGGACAGTTCAGACTATGCTGTTTTTTTTTTATTTTTTACTGTTTTGTGAGTTCTTCCAACCTAATAAAAGTGCAACGTATTCAGTGTACAATAGTGTAAGTCCACAGAGCAATTATATGTGCCTGTATAGCGGAGTTATAATTCCATTTGCCATAACCCAAATAATTTGTTGCAATGGCATTTTATTTTGTTACTTCCTCCGGAAGTGAGATGTGTGTGGTGGTAATAGATTGGGGTGCCCCTGCAAACTTGAGGGGGTGCAGCCCGTGCTGCTTCCTTATTAAGGAAGGAATAAGGAAGGATAAGGAAGTGCGGTTCAATTGGCACCAGTCTGCCATACACTCTCACGGAGGTAAGTTGCGTTCGCATCATTGCTGCTATACTAGCATAGCACGACAATTGGTACCTAAAGGCCCTTTCACACCAGACGCGAATTTAACGCACGATTTATTCGCGCGTCAATAATATTTTTCGAACCAATAACTTGTCAATGATATATGGAAGCCCATTCCCGCCAGTTACTCCGACTTAGCTAAGTCGAAATTCTGACATAGCTAAGT